CTCCCCACTACTATCTCAGCCAAGGACCTAGACTCACACTTCACTGAAAAAATCGAACTCTTATTCATTGAGAGTTTCCTCTTCTTCCCTTATTTCACATGTCTCAGATGTTTTTCCCCAATCCTTCAACTCTATCTCACATGAAGCCCTTCACCTCGTCAGGTCAAACTGCTGTAGATGACCCTTAATCTCATCCCATCTTCTCTTACAGATTGCCCCTACTATCATTCCTCCATATCTCCTTCATTCTGTCTTTCTATAGGCTGCTTCCCCTATAATTTAAAAAAAAAATCCTCACTCCTCTGCAATCTGACTTTCAGCTTCATTCCCCTGAAATGGTTCTCTTCAAAGTCACTAGTGATCTCTTGATGGCCAAACTGATAACTTTTTCTCAGTCTTCGACTTTCTTGATCACTTCTGTAGCCTTAGACACCATTGATCAGCCTCTTCTTGATGCAGGTATTTGTGGCACTGATCTTCAGTTCTCATGCTACCTATCTGACCTCTCCTTATTCTCCTTTGCTAAATCTTCATCCAGGTCTCACTCACTTTCTTGGTGTCGCCTAAGAGTCACTTCTGCATCTTCTTTTCTTTTTCCTCAATAGTGTCTCACTAGGTGACGTGGACTGTTACTGCCTTCTGTTTGGTCTTCCTGCCCTCAAATGTCTCCCCACTCCATTACATCCTCCATTAAACTGCCATAGTGATTTTCCTAAAGCTCAGATCTAATCATGTCACACTCCACTTTCCTACTCAGCAAACTACAGTGACTCCATATTATTTCCAGGATCAAATATAAAATCTACTGTTTTGACATTCAAAGCCCACCATAGTCTGGTCCATTCTTACCTTTCCAGTTTTCTTAGGCTTTACTTCCTTCTCCATTGTCTGTCATTCAGGAACACTGGCCTTCTTACTGGTCCGTAAACATGACACTGTTTTCCAAGTCTATACCTTGTCAATGGCTCTCATGCCTGGAATACTCTCCCCTTACTTGCCTTTTGGCTTCTTTTTAAGACTGCTCAAAAATCATCTTTTAAAGGGGACCTTTATTGGTATCCCTCTGCCCCCATTCCTTCCTAGATGATGTTCCATGTACATTGTATAAACCTTGTATGTATGTAGCACATAGTAAGCACTATAAAAAATGCTTGCTGATTCACCCACTAACAAAACAAAATTAAACTGTAAGTGAAAAACTACAGTTTATAATCAATATAACATGTCATAAATCTAGTTAATTAGTATAGATGAATGAATTACTGGTTGCATAATCTGAAGGCATTAAAATAAAGGTTAATTCAACCTTCATTGTGATTAACTTAGTTTTAAATTCAATTTACCTTAATAGTAATGCCTTTCTCTCTTTAAAGTGACTTCATGTTTTTATTCATATTTGTTATCTTATTTGGTCCTGTTATGTAGGCAGACTAAGTATTTTATCTCCTCTTCCTCCTTTTTTTTTTTTAATAGCTTAGGAAATTGAGGTCCATATAGCTGCCCAAGATCACATAGGCAATAAAACTGGGTCTAGAGTCTTTGTCAGTGGACTTCCATTATATCACACTGTTTTACTATGAATGTTCTTAGAGGAAGACATTTATTTGAATTTTTTACTCAAAAAATTTATCCATGACATCTACGTGGCCATGCATTCCAAATTATCAGTGTTGAGATGAATGAAGTTTTAATGCATATCTAACAAATGGAAGGATCAGACGTACTAGAATGGGGGGCAATGCAAGAATGCCTTCCATGACTACTTTGCTGTCTGGTTTCTGTTTTTGATACTGTCGTTTACTCTGTGTGTGACCTTGGGTAAAATCCCTTTCCCCTTCCATAGCTTAGCTTCCCTATATATCAAGCAAGGATAATATTGTTTAATCCCACTTGACTCCAGAGGGTTATTGTAAGGGTTTTGTTATAGGCAGACAGCTTTGAAGTAGAGGGTGCTAATTATCCTGAGAAGAGGCTGGATTGATAAGGTATAAAATTCTGAGGTTTGCCTTTCAAAGAGAGAACTTCCCTTTTGATTGTCCTTTAGACCCTGGGGAACCTGGCAGTTGTCTCTGGTAAAGGAAATTTAAGATCTTCATAACAGTTTAAAAATAGCAGAGTGATAACTACTCCAAAGTCCTGGCCAACATTCCCAACTGTTTGATTTATTGCTTCAGTCTGAGCTTCTATGGAGGGTAGGACGGCTGTGGGCTCTGATTCTCCCCAGTGCCCTTGGTGGTTGTTCCCTGGGGAGATATTTTACACATGTAGGTGAAGTGTTACATGAAACCAAGTCTGTTCTCCTAGTCATGTCGGTAGGATATGAAGCATTTACATGTAAGCATTAATGACTTAACTAATTGATTCCTTTTTCTTGGAAATTAAAAACCAGGAAAGACATTGCTGTTTAATTTAATGAGATGGTAAGATGTTGGGCCACTGCAATAGGACTTTCTTGATTGTGACATTCTTTGCTTGTTGTACTCAGAAAATTTACCTCCTTATGATAGTAAGAGCACTTTAAAAATTATCTCAGTGGATAGTAGGCCCTTAACAAATGTTTATTAATTGATTCTAATTTTTCAATTCTTGTTAGTTAAAACTTAAACACTTTTGATTTAGAGAAGGAGAAAAGTAGATGATTGCCATTTTTAAAGATGATGTTGATTTTTTTGTCAGCTAGACCTGTGATTTCATTGTTTGAGAACTCCCAGTGTGGAAGCACCCTCCATAGATGTGGTTTAGTAGGTAGTCTTTGAAACAGTAATAGGTTAGGTTAAGTGACATGTCTTTGGTCACATATCAAGATATCCAGAGTCAAGTACTAGAACCCAGGTCTTCCTTATTCCAAGGATGACCTTTCTCCGTCCTTTGCAGTGGCTCTGGATTATAAGACTTTCTCAATGTGGTTACATAGGTCCTTTTTTTTTTAATTTTTTTTTTTTAAAGGAAAACAGAGACCCAGTAGCCCTGAGATTTTTGTTAAATTCAGAGAATAGTTGTGTTTCCTAACCTTTGCTAAGAAATATTGCTCATTCAAGCTCTCTTTACTAGAACTATTGGAATTGCACCTGTGACTTCAGTGACATTTCTGGTAGCCACCTGTGTTGTCTAGGAGAATGTTACTCGACTGGAATATAGCATAGCACATAATAAGTGCTTGATTACTGTTTATTGAGTTGAACTGAAGCCAGGGCCACTGTTGATTGAAGCAAGGACTGATACTGTACTTGGTGTTGGAGGAGAGTAAGAGATAAGCAGTGAGGTGATTAAGGAGTAGCCTGTTCCTCCAGATCTGTCTATCTGTTGACTCCTTTTCCCCTGCCTCAGTGGAGTTACAGTCAGAGACAGGTGCTATGATAAAAATTGACTCTAGTAATTATAGTGTTACAAAGCAAGGTTTTATGTCACAGCGTTGCATGTTTTCATTTTTTACCAAGGCAGTCTTTTTTAGCATCTATTAAGTAATTCCTTTTGCCAGAGCTACCAAGAAATAATACTCCTGTGAGTTGAAAGACCACTACTTCCAGAAGAGTGGAATGTTCAGCAAATAGCCTTTACACTTAATGCCCAGAAACAAAGCCTAAGGGAATTGGGTTTTCATGTGAGCAGGCAAATTTTCTCTTATCTAAACATGATTTATTTTCATTTGAATTATTTGTACGAGTTGGAGAAATATCTAGTGCCTAATGTGTATTGTACTTAAAAAAGTTTAATGGCCCCATTGGATTCGTGTAGCATAAACCCCATTGGGGTTGGGATTGTCAGGTAAAGTCTATGAGCTTCTTGGTTTGGGGGATTCACATCCTAGGTAAAAATGGCAGCCCTGTCTCATCATCTCATCCCATGTGTCTCTTACCTAGGTCTTTTGATAAATCTTCCAATGAGAGTAGACTCACCACACTGAAGGCTTCAGTCCATTTTTTTTGTTTTTAAAATACTGCGTACCAGCACAGAATATGAGCTGCTTTCTTGGTTCTCACATGAGTGGGATCAGATTCCTTATCATAAATGTCCTTAATGATAGCTTTATTTTTTTTTTTGCAGCCTATGTCTAGCCATCCTGTCTTTCCCTTGCCCTTTGGTTTGGATTAAGGTTTATAAAAGGAAATGCTATTTCTTACTGTTGTAGTTGATATATTTTGATGGAACCAGGATTTGTTGTATTTTTTAAAAGAAGGTAATGAAAATTGATCTCTTGTAAAAATATGATAAGTCTATACACATACACATATATAATATTTTTTTTCTCATTTTCCCTCTTAGGTTATTGGGACTTCCCACAGCCAAAATACTATATGCTCATAACCCTAGTAGGGATAAAGAAGTTGTAGTGAATTCAGTGTTTACAGCTTCTAGACATTTTCATGTGTCTCCTGTTCATTGCAGGGTGAGTGTTGATATACCCTTGGAAACTATGTGGTGGAAGGGTGCCAAAGTTTCATGCTTTCTTTGGCCCAAAGTTTTCATTTTCTGCTTGTCTCCCCTTTCCCTGTTAACCCTGGTGTTTTCCCTCTGCTTATTTGCTTTGGTGTTTATTTTTTCCAGAAGGTTTTTTCTTTATTTTGGGGTGGGTCTTGATATCAGCATATAAGGGAGAAAAAATTTAGACTTCAAACCAGATAGTTGAGTGTATAAATAGCAAAGATTTTCGTTTACTGTAAGTGAAATCTCAAATTGTGAACTTTTAGTGTAGCGCAGATTCTGAAATATTCAATAATTAGAAAATGTTTGCAGCCTTTTTTTCTGTCTCTAAAATGCAATGAAAAATTATTTAAAAATTCATTTATGGAGGAGAATAGGTGGTAGGTAGGTGATAAGTCTAACTAGCTGGCCTAAGCATTTACTCACATAGGGCAGCTAGGTGGCGCAGTGGATCGAGTCCCAGGCCTGGAGTCAGATAGACTCATTTTCCTGAGTTCAAATCCACCCTCAGACACTTACTTAGCTGTGTGACCCTGGGCAAGTCACTTAACCCTATTTGCCTCAGTTTCCTCATCTCTTCCAGAAAAAATCCCAAATGCAGTCATAAAGAGTTGGACTTGACTGAAAAACTTTCTTGATGTTTTTAATTTGAATGGTATTTAAACTCTGTTTACAATTCCCAACTAGTTACATGGCTTTATTTTTCCATGTTTGCTTATATTCACCTTCACTTTTGAACTTGGTTTTTGGAATTTGGCTTAGGGGAATGGCAGGAGAAAGACCAATATTGTTTTATCATCTTAACATATCCAGTAATGACATTTCACTTATTTGGCTAAAGCATTTGAGTGTTCCTGTATGGTTCTCCTCTATATTTATGTAAAGATGAAAACTTTGGTGAAGGGCAGAGATTCTTAACTGGGGTCTTTGAACTTTTTTTTTTAAACTGTATTTAGAAATGATTTGTTTCCTTTGAAATCGTATGCATTTTGTTTTTTACATTAAAAAATATCATTCTGAGAAGGGGTCCACTGACTTCACAAGACTGCCCAATGAGGTCTATGACACATAAAAGATTAAGAATTCCTGGTGTCTAGGAAAAGCTTTGAAAGATTTGAATGTGAAGTTTGAGAGGAAATTTATAAAAAAAAACAAACAAACATAAGTGGCTCGTGTAGGGGCAGAGACACTATAATCCCAAATGAAAGTTAAAGGATTTGGGTTCTCTGTTGTCAGTAAACCTTTTGGTATGTTCTTTTTTTAAAGTGCCCTCAGACTTGGGGATTCTAATCTGTTGTAGAAATCCAGAGAGATCGTCATCCTTACTGTTTGTAGGTTTTAAGTAGCACGAAAGTTGTCTAAGTGGAGGGATTAAAGAGATACTTTAATTATTGGTTTTGAGCAGGTGGAATTAATGTATACCTGTCTTTCAGGTGATTCCAGCAATGGGACAAACCTCCTTCAGAATTATTTTTTTACCAACTGAACAAGGGAGCATTGAAAGTTCTTTATTTATAAATACATCCTCTTATGGAGTTATTTCCTACCAGGTGAAGTAATTTTTCCCCCTCTTTTTTTCCCAGTAAATCTGTTTGATCTTAGCTTCATTATAAAGTTTATGTACAAAGAGGCTATAAAAAGAAAAAGAATTCTAAGCAGTTTTGGAAAGGTGGGCATTGTGCTCTAAGACCCCCAGATTCAAAAGATCCATAGCCCTTTAGTTAACTTCGGTCTCACTTAGTTTAAACCCCTTTTCATGCCCAACTTGGACACAGATCACAGACTTGTTCTGTGCTACAACTGTCACATATGATGCAGTGTGGCCTCATCTTGGTCTCTTGATTTTTGACAGATATTGGAGTAGGAAAAAAAACTCAGTTGGATATTCAGTTTTTCTCTTGTAAAATGTAAAAGGCATTCTTTTATAAAGCAAACTTAAGAAGTTAGTAGTTTTGTCATTCTCCCATGTGGAGTCTCGGGGGATGTGTGAATTTCTTTTTGGACATTGAGATGACCAAACGTAATAATTTCATTAACTAAGTCATAGTTCTTCTAACTAAATCTAGTCAGTCTGAAGGCAGTGTGCCTTTGACACGCCAAAATAAAAGAGACAAAATTCAAATAATAAGTACTTGTTAAAGAGTTCTGGGTAAAGCAGGCTCTTTCCAGAGGTTTGGAGCCATATGACAATTTTAATAGAATGCCATTTCATTTTTTTCCCGATTACATTTAAGAACAATTTTTGACATTCATTTTTTATAATTTTTGAATTTCACATTACCTCCCTTCCTCTCCTCCTTACTCCTTGAGAAGGCAAACACTTTGATGTAGATTATTTATGTGAAGTCATGCAAAACATATTTCCATATTAGCCATGATGCAAAAGAGAGCACAGACTCCCCCCCCCCAACCCCAAGAAAAATAAAGAAAGTGAAAAATAGTATACTTTGATCTGCATTCAGACTCTGTCAGTTCTTTCTCTGGAGATGGATAGCATTTTTCATCATAAGTCCTTCAGAATTGTCTTGGATCGTTGTATTACTGAGAATAGCTAAGTCATTCACAATTGATTACATTGCTGTCACTGTGTACAGTTATCTTCTGGCTCCACGCAGCATTTTTATAAGACCTTTTTCCTGCCCTCATATAGTTTACAGTCTACATAGTACAAACATTCAGCTTGTAGGCCTGTGGTTTGCTGGGAAGGATGGTTTTATAAGCATGGGATCCTTAACTGATGAAGATCCTTGAAATTTAGCATCAGGAATATAGACTTCTTCTGGAATGGTAATTGATACTTGAAGATTGAGTATTTTATATCTTCCTAATAGTGTGATTTGTCATTTTTCTTCCAGGTCTTTGGAACTGGAGCTCCACGATTCTCCACTGAAGGTTCCACAAAACAGTTACCGAATGCTCATTTGCTGCTTCCCCATGTCCAGAGTGTCCAGATTTCACAAACACAGGTGAGTTTTTGAGTGTGGAAAAATCGTTTGGAGCCCAGGAAGGAACAACTTTACCTGTGTTTTGTATTCCTTAAGTAAAGATGATTAGGGAGGATTCCCAGGCGTTCTTCTCCAAAGCCTTGCTGGGAATAGAATAGAGTCTTCCCATTAGGTCAATAGGCCATCACATGAAGTTGGCTTTGAAACTCTAAGGACCAGTCAGAGAAGGAGGTTCTCTTCTGGTTATAAGCACTTTAACCCTTAGGAGTTGTAGCTAAGTTAAGGAAACATAGCTCTATAATGTACTATTATGGATTATTATCCAAAAATGTACAATAGGTTCAAGGAAGTTGCAGCTGAGTTAAGGAAGCATCGCTCCATGATATATTATTATGGACTATTGTCCAGAAATGTACAGTAGGTTCAAAGAAGTTGTAGCTAAGTTAAGGAAATACAGCTCCATGATGGACTATTAATGGGGATTTAGACATGTTAGCAGTTCAGCCCTAAAACTTGAGGGCAGTGCTGTGAGCAGCATAGGACTGTGTTATTGAATCACATAACCCTTTAATGTTACTATGAGTGAATACTATGACTGAATACAAGATGAGCTCTCAGTGTGGCATTTGTTTCTTAGGTACGTGCCTTCTGATCTTTTTGGTTAGTTGTGAGCATTGGTTTTATTTGCTTGAGAGTAGGATGGGGTCGAGTTTTGCCAAACTCTCTTTCTTTTTACATCTTTGTTAAAAAGGAGAGGTCTTGCTTGTTTTGGGGGAGGGAGGGATATTTTTAGAAATGAATGTAATGTAAAAAAAAGACAATTAAAAATAAATAAAATCTTATTTAAAAGTGTATATTTGGATATGGTTTTTGCTTAGGACAGACTGTCCCTTACCTCCAGACAGTGCATCTTTTCGTCTGTTTTCTAGAATTAGAAAGTACACTTTACTTCTCTAAAATTGCTTTTAAGGTTGTTAACTTTAAAGTTGATGAGTGGTGACCATATTTCTTTCCTATAAGTCATACACCCTTATCACTGCTGCATTTTTTGGGTTGTCAGTTTTTCCTCAAAATAGTCCCACTTTTTTTCTTTTTGATAGCCATTTATGTCACTTATTAACTGCCAGGGAAAGTGAATGATGTGTAGTAAATAATTGTTTTGACTTTTCATGGGGTAAAACTTATTACACAGTGGCTGGCTTTCTTTGCCCCTACTTCTATCTTGGTTCTTCCTTTTTTGTGTATGTTCCCAGCCCCACTTTAAGATCATTGAAATTAGGAATTCTCATTTTTTTTCATCTTCCTATCTCTAGCTTTTTTTTGTTTTTTGTGATGCCTCACAATTGCTTGATGTTTGTTCAGCATGGTAACTCTTGCTTGGACCTATCACTGAGATCCACAGTCATTTTAAGCTTTCTGACAAGCTTTATTCCTCCTCTGCTTTGTAGTACTTTGAGAAGTGAAGGAGTAATTTTTTTTTTACTTAATTTTTTTCTATGTTTAATTAAATGAGTACAACTATATTAAAGTTTAAATCCAAGAAATTAATGAGGTCTAATATTCCATTTGTTATATCAAAAATGCTGCAAAAATGGTTACTATCAAAGAAAATATTTGTAGAAATAGAAGGGAAGAAAATAAGCATTTGTTAAGTGCCTGCAAGGGGCAGCTAGGTGTTGTAGTAGATAGAATGCTAGGCCTGGAGCCAGGAAGACCTGAGTTCAAATTTGGCCTTGAACACTGACTGACTCTCTGACCAGGGGCAAGTCATTTAACCCTATTTGTCTCAGCTTAGACTCAGGTGAGCATGTGTGCCATGTAGGTGGTACTGTGTTACATTCATTTATTATGGAAATTGATGGTTATGTTGGTAGAGGCCAAATCTCCCTCTTCTTTTCTAGCGTCATTTTTGGTTCATATTTATCAGATGAACAAATCACCTCATCTGAGTGACTTGAGACACAGAAATAGCATTGTTTTGTAGAGCATGATACAGGGTGTAGACGTTGGTGTGTTAGCTTATAGTCGGAGAAACATTAACATGTCAGAGGAAGGGGGCTGCTAGGTGGTATGTGGAATAGAGCAACGGCTCTGGAGTCAGGAGGACTGAAGTTCAAATCCAGCCTCAGACACTTACTGGCTGTATGACCCCAGGCAAATCACATAACCCCAGTTGCTTCAAAAAACATACAAAAAAAGATGACTAAGGAAGATAGACTCAAAGAAAATAGGAATTTATCACTCTGAGAGATAGAGTCGTGCTACAGAAAGAGTGGTGACTGGATCACTGAATTGGAAGCTTAAATCCTTTCTCAGTTGCTTCCTGTCTCTGTGATTTTGAGTAAGGCTTCTCTGGGTCTTGGCTTCCTTGTGTGATATGAAGAGTTTAAACTAGGTGACCTGAGGAGGTAAGGATGGTGGAAAGAGTAATAGCTTTGAATCTGGATTCAAATTCTGCCTCCACTGTGAGCTTGAGTAGTTCACTTAACCTCATCTTCAAAATGAAGGGGTCAGATTGGATGGCATCTAAAATATAAGCCAGGTCTCACGGACCATATTTCTATGGCCATGGTAATTACAATTTCATAAAACTTTGGTACTCATTTCAGTATCCTTTGGTTATGTGAACTCTTAAAATTTCCCCCTAAACCACTCGTTTGTATTCTATTTGTAATAGAGACAACTTGGCACAACAGATAATATGCTGGGCCTGGAGTCAGAAAGACTGGGTTTAAATCCTGCTTTTGACATTTACTAGCTGGGAGACACTGGGCAAATCACTTACCATCCTTGTGCTCCTGACTACAACATCCTTGGGGGCTTGTCAACTCAGTTATGCTAGGCCACGTATTCACTTTGAAATATTTTACTATAGAATCACAAAATCACAGAATGGGAAGGGACCTCGGAGTCACCGCATTCCCGAGAAGTAGTCACCCACCTCCCATTTGGATCACTTCCAGTGAGGATAGACTCACTATCTCCTGAGACAGCAGGTCTAGACAACTCTGGTGGGGAATTATTCCTTAATGTGGTGACTAAACCTATCTCTTGACACTATTTAGGCCCTCGGGCCAATGAGAACAGGTATAATCCCTCCTGTTGTCCATGACCATTTTGAAATATTATAGTGGGACTTTACTTATGTCAATGTACAGTTCTTATTTATAATTGTGCTTAAGTGAAATAAGAATGCCCCAATCATTTGAAGTCACTGCCATTTCTTTTTACTATATTTATAAGCTTGATTGTTGTTACTATTCTGAGTTATACTGGTTTTAATTCTTTTATAGGGTCTTCCTTTTCAGTGTCTTGTAAAGAGTTTTCACCTCCTTAAATACCTATTAAAAGTGCCACCTCCTTTTTGGAGCCTTCTCTGGTGGATGGGATGCAAGGGAATCTATTATGCTCTTGCACCAACTGTCCCCACTATATTACCTCTTAGCTACAAAACTGTGAAAACTAAATTTCAAAATTAGTTGACAGCCCAGTTCTTTTTACATTGTTGTACAACTCACTACATCCTTCTACATATATGTCCACATTGGCATGTATATTTTATACCTAAATTTCAGTGTAGATTGTAGGCATCTGGATTAGTTGTGATTTGTTTGTTGTAAGAAAAGTTTAGGGTTGGAGCCGAGTAGCCTGAATTGTAGGTTGGAACTCCCCAGTTAGCTGTTTGATATTTTGGACATTTATCTAACTTCTCCAAACTTCATTTGCTTCATATGTCAAATGTGGGTAATGATACTTCTCTTGCATACCCTGACATTTAGACTAATAAAGAATTGCCTGATTTATGAAGAACAGTGCTACAGACTTGGTTTTTTTTTCCTTTTATCTGTAATAAGGCCTTTTGTCCAGATTGAAGAGAATTCAAAGAATACTTTATATATTGTAGATTTCTTAGGGTGACCGGAAGGAATGTGAAGGGTCATTCAATCCCAACTTATTTTAGGGATGAGAGGATTAGGGAAGTTAAGTGTCTTGCTCAAAGTAACACAGATAATAAATGTTGGAGGTGGGCTTGGAACCCGGGTTGAGAGGCGGTGACCTTTCCACAGTACCGTTCTGCCTCACTAGCCAATCCAGGACAGCTGCTTCACATTGCCATAGTTCCTCTAGAGCTGCCAAAGCTCTCTCCTCCCAGTAACCCTGTGATGTAGGTTGTCGTCCTCATTTTGCAAACAGTAATACTGAAGCCAGAAGTCACATAACAGAGCTAGGACTAAGACAGACTCAGGTCCAATTCAATTCAAAGGTTTTTTCTATTTTACTACAAAATATCATCTGGCTAATGTTAGTAACATCTCTTTGCTCAGTTAATTGTTGCAGCTAATGGTATAAGAGATTATTTTAGACCTTAAACATTAGTTGATTGAAATTAGCAGGATGATGAGCCAATATTATAAAATGAGATAATATATGTGAAGTGTTTTGCATACCTTAAAGTGGTATATAAATGTTAGCAATTACTATATCAGACTTAGTATATATATAGCTATGTTAGGCATAGAGGCTTACATGGGTATATGAAATGGCACTGCATGACTTTTTTTGGGGGGGTAGAGAATAGTGGAGACCTTGAGTTCAGGGTTGGTTTTTTTAAGTTCTAGGTTCAGAAAAATAAACATTTTATTAAGCACCTACTATGTTCCAGGTACTAACGGAGGAGTGGGTTGGAGGGGAACAACCATCTCTATCTTTTCATCCTTAAAATTTTGCAAGTCTTCATCCATTATCTCCATAGGAGTTTTCTATCCATTGTAATATAGAGCCCTCTTAGATTGCTTGATATTTTGTGAATACCGGAACAACATATGGTCTATCCTGCTGTTTTTGCCCTGTATTGCTACATAATTGGTTCACTCACGTCCTTTTCTAGTCACATAATTGATTATCTTTTATCCTAGTTCTCATGCAATTCCTCATTGGTAATGAGTTACCTGCTCACATCCACAATGGCCCCTCACCATTGCTGCATGAGCCTCTGCTTAGGGTTTTCTTTTGAGCTTATGGCATAGCACAAGGTGGCAACCATATGGTGCCATTGGAAAAATCTTCATGTGGCAAAGATGAGCAAAGACTTGACCTGTGATTTCACTGATAGCAGAAATTTCCAGACAATGAAACTCCCTCTTTCGATGCAGGCCACCATCTTTTCTGTAAGTTATAATCTTAGGGGAGTTGGCTAAAGCGTTGAAAAGTTACATGAGGCCCCGACTTGACAGAGTCATTGATGTCACAGGCAGAACTTAAACCTTCATCTTTCTGCCTGTGAGGCGTACTTTCCCTCTGGTACACCATGCCGCCTCTTTTTATAGCTACATTTTTTGTTATTTCTGTAAATGATAGAAAGGAAATTTGGAGGTGCTGGAACTCCCTCTTGTGGATTCTTTCATTTTTTTTTTCACATTTTTTACTGAGATTTTTTCTTATGCCTCCTTAATACGTGGCATATAACTTTTAAATAAATCATTAAAATTATAAAAAAATTTTCTTGCTACTTTCAATATTTTACATTAATGGAAAGTTCTGAAGAATAGCTATTACCAAAAAAAAAAATAACCAAGTACATAACATTCTAGGTTTTTAGTCACTGTGCAAGTGATATGGTCATAATAGATGGCTTCCTTTTCTTCTATTTCTTTAAATATTTCCTGCATATTTTAATATAACATGTTGGAACTAGAAAATATATATATATATGTATATATATGTATGTATGTATGTGTATACATATACATGTATGTGTGTATATATATATATGGAGAGAGAATATACATAAGTAACAAATTTAGAAAATAAAGAATTTTATTTAGTGGTTCTGTGATTTCATTGATATAGCTATACTAGTGACACAGAAATCAACAGGTAAATATTTATTAAGCATCTACTCTATTCCAGACACTGTACTATGTACCGGGGACATAAAAAAAAAAAAGGAGACAAAAAACAGTCTCTGACATCAAGGAACTCTAATGAATAGATCTATGTTAATAACTAGATAACAATAACCATTCATGCCTTCTGAGACTGGGTATCTTTTGAGCATGTCTTCTTATAAATCTTTGGGGTGGGTGGGGAGTGTTAAGAGAAGATAGGTCCACCTGATGTGTTGGACCGAGATTGCTTTACATTACCTGGGGACCACTGTGATGCATAGGTTGTTAATCGGTTAACCTTGGGTAGCATACTTCCTTTTCTGGTTGTATATCTCCTTGATCTCTTTTTTACATGGCTTCCAGTATCCAGTTTTTCATTGGGAAATTGATGAAGCCTAATCATGGCCATCATGTGAAACTATTTGCATAATTTTATTTGGTGGGTGACAAATACATTTTATTAGGGTAACAGTCTTGAAAAAATAAACTTAAAAAACATTCTTGTAAGCTATTTATTTTCTAATTAAAATTTTTTAGATTGGAAACACAGGATCTGGATTACCAGGTTTTGATGTATTGGTTGATAGGTGATAAACTTTTCCTTTAGAGAATTGCCTATCCCTTTGACTTTCATGCTTTCTTTAATGGTAGATCACCTAATTTAATGTGTTGCTATGTTTAGAATGAGAACAATGAATTCTTCTCAGGTGGCAGATACATCAAGTAAAGGCAGTTGCTTAATGCCGTTTTTTCTTAATGTTCCCCTAGATATATGTGAGTACCATGCAACAATGTTCCAATCTAGTATTGGAATATCTCTGTGTTTCAGCAGAGCTGTGATTTCGTTCATTTTTAGGCCCTCTTCACTGGTGCAGGTTTTTGTCCATTTCTGTAAATTTTTCCATCGAGTTTCTACTCAAACCACTAGAGGACTCCTCTGGTTCTTTTGAGGATGGGCAGTCCTATCCATTTATTACCTCTTGATCTCCCTAAATAATTGATCTGCTTCCTTTTATGGTATCTTTTGCACTTCTTCTCTTAAAGTCATCTTTGACAGTATGGTATAATCTCTTATATCCAATATTCATCTTTCCAAGGCCTTCATGTCCCCAGCAATTGTGAATTTAACAAGATTGTGGTTTTCCATGACTTGTGCCGTTGACATGTCTGGTTAAATTAACGTTTAGAAAAATGGGTGTTTGTAGCAGCGAGCAGCTTAGAATCATTACAAATGTACCGTGCAATTTTGTAAATGTGGTCTAGCCCCTAGGGCATATTAAAAAGAGGAGGCAGAAAAATCTTGGAACCTTTACATTTCCACAAATACGTTTTAGGGGTATTTGCAAAAGGAGCTTACGATTATGAAGTCTCTGTCCTACGCACTGAGTTTTACCAAGCCTTCCTTTTAAAATGATTTTTTTCTTCTTACTCTTCCAGGCAGAAACCACTAATACTAGTCTCTTACAAGTTCATCTAGAATGCAGTTTACATAATAAAGTTTGTCAGCAACTCAAGGTAAATGCATTTCTTTTTTAAAGGAGCATCTATATTTTAGAACTAAAAATCGTCCCATGTTTTGGTGATTTTTGTTTGTTTGGGGGGTGGTATTTTGAAGTCAACAGATTTATGTACTTTGAAAGATTGATGAATTTCTCTCCCGTTTTCCCCCCATCCATCCTCAGAGTTGTTATCTAGAGTCAGATGACACCTTGCTGCTACAGATGAGCATAATTCTAACCACGGAAACCTCCCCTGAAGAATATGAGGAGAGCAGACAAGATTTACTAGATAATCTCTCCATTGTTTATGTAGCTATAGACAAAACTGAGACCTCAGGTAAGGTAAAACCCTTGAAGCTTGCATTATGATACAACTTGGTGGGTATAGAAGCCTTCATTACTTGGAAGTGTTCACTTGGGGATAGTTGTCCTCAGGCAAAGGCAGAAAGTCCTTTGCTTTACTCTAACTGTAAACAGAGTGAAGGGTTCCACAATGTTTATCTTAGCTAATTGAGGCAATATTACAGTTTTTGGGGAAAAGTGGCAGCTGCTGCCTGAGTATGTCCTTTTCTATCTTTCTAAAGCAAATGAAAAAAAAGGCATTCCATTCCAGCCTTAGTCGACATAGATCACCCGACATCCATTTCATTTGTTTCTGTTAAACTGAATGGAAGCTCTCTTGACCTTGTTATTAGAAGAATGGCATAGTGCACTTGGAATCAGAGAGGTGGGGGGTTGACCCCTGCCTCTTGAACACTCATTAGCCTTGAGAAAATGGGAAAGTCTCTTAATCTCTCCAGATTTTTATTGTGTCGTAGAAAATGTGCACAATAAGTCTTGGAATACCTGCATCGTTGGGTGGTTGTGAGGATCAAATATGATAACGTATATAAAGAATTTCATGAACTTTAAAGTGCTATGTAAATGCATATTAATATTGTTATTCTAAATTTTCAGTGAATTACCAGATTATAGTAAATTAGAGCCAGAAGTTCCTGGAAACCTGTGAGTAGTGTAGTCTGTGAAGCTTGACCCTGGAAAATTTGAGTCCTGCCTAACAGTATTAACTTTACCGCCCCTTAAAATTTATGGGCTTTAACTTTCTGGGCACTTTAATGGGATAAACACCGTTTTTCATCCGTAAGCTCCATTATGCAGAAATACCTATTTTTGGTTGATTGATTCAATCAGAAACCTGTATTTTACGTTATTTTGGAAGAAGGAAATCAGTACCATTTCTAGGGACAGGGTTTGGTGACAGTGTAAATTTTTTTAACCCTTTTTGTAGTAATTTGTAACAGTGGTTCAAGAAATAAATATTATTGTAATGACTGACATTTATTATAGTGTTTTAAAGTTTGCAAAGTATTTGACACATAGTCTCTAGGCCCATTAGGCAACAAGCATTTGTTCTTTACCGTGAATAATAGCATTTTCTTTAGTTATTTAAGTTATTCAAGGTTAGCATTTAAAAAGAAGGGAGAAATCCACCATGTATCAAATTTTGACAAGTTAAGAGTTAAAAGCAAGTCAGCATTTTGTAGGCAGTCTTAGATTATTATCATGCAGGTTCTTTTCTTCTCTTTTCTTTTTTAAACCTGGGGCCTATGAGGATTTCTTGGATAATTTTCATGGGGTCTGTAAACTTGGATGGGAAAAAGTGGCATCTTTATTTCACTAACCTCTAATTGAAATTTAGCATTTCCTTTTTGAAAATAGTATTTTGAGAACCTTTAATTGAAATTGAGTATTGCTTTGAATCATTTGAAAACATGATAATGAGAAGGGGTTTACTGGTTTTACTGGACTCGCAAAGGAGGCTCGGACACAAGAGGGGTTGAGAACCCTGGTGTGGCGTCTCATGATACTGTGCCCAATTTTAATCCGTCAGTATGTGAAAGAGTGTTGCTTCCTAAAGGCAGCTATGGTGTAGTGGAAAGGACACTTGGGCCTGAAATCAAGAAGATTTGCGTTCCAGTCCATCCTTAGATACTTATGAGATGTATGACCCTGGGGAAGTCACTTAAACTTCATCTACTTTAGTTTCCTCTCCTATAAAATGGGGGTGATAATAATAGCCTCAGCCTCCCAGAGTGGTTGTGAGGATTGAGATATTGTGTATATAGTGCCAAAAACATATGTAGGATTATGACAGATAAAATTGGTGATTGGTAGAACTTGAAGTAATAAGTGAATAAACAGATCTTGATAAACTTAGATGGATATGTGTATATGTAATTTGGAGTTAGTTGTTAAGTGCAGTTAATTTTCTACCAAGTCTTTTAATTCTGTTTATACTAACCAAAAGTATATTTTCTTTAAGTCATATATCCTTAAGCAAAACATAACAGGCACTTAATATATGCTGTTCCTTTCCCTTCTGTTTTCTTGCCCTAATAGTCACTATCTTAGAAGTACCTGCTATATCTTTTGATGATTGTTATTGAGGCTAATGCAGTTGGTCAGATTGACTGTCCTCTTGACCATAAATCTCAAATCTACCATTTCTGCACTTGCTGTTTTTCATTATTTTGGTAGCCTGTGGTAACTGTCTTTTTTCTATGTTAGGGAAAAAAAAAGTTACAGTAAGAAAAAAAAATCCCAATTTTTATTTCAATGAAGAAATCTTTATTACAACTTTGACAGGAATTTATAGGATGTTATTTCAATAACTCCTATAAAAAGATATAAAATTAAGAGAACTTTGTTTTAATTCAGTTATTCTGATTGTTTTTGACAGATGACTCTGCAGTAAATATGTATGTATTACATTCAGGAAACAGCCTTCTGTGGATACAGGTAATTTACTTGTTGACTTTCTCTTGTAACATGGTGTTCTTAGGTTATCTTGTAACATACAAGATATGTAAAAATATGTATTTTTTTTTCATTTCAAAATGTACATTTAACACAGTAATTTTTAGTTACATTTTTTGTTCCAACCTTCCTAGGGAGGTTATATAGATGGATTTTTTTCTGTGCATCATGAAAATATAGCTTAGTTTCTCTTTTTCTTGGATGATTTTCCTGTGGATTTTGTCAGAAGTTATACACTGTAACTATACAAACTCTCAGGGATCTTCTAGCTTATTTATCGTGTGGTTAAATTTTTTTTTGCAGTCCATTTTTATATCATCATTTCTCTCAGATAATAATTTAGAAAATGAGGATGTGTGACTTAAAGAAAATATATTTCTGGTTAACATAAACAAATGAAGAGACTTGGTAGAAAATAAAGTACATTTTACCAGATTACACATATATATACATCAAAGTTTATCAAGAGATGTTTATCATTTATTACTGATAAGAGAAAAGTGTAGTGAAATGATCCTGTACTTGACTCCCAATTCCATTTCATTTTGTTAGTCACCTTGTGACATTGGGCAGGCGTCAGTTTCCTTATCCATTTAATAGACATTTATGGATTAATAATGACCACCTTATAGGGTTTTGAGGTCCAATAAAATGTATGTGAAAGCACTCTGTGTAATGTGCTATACAAATAGAAGGCATTATTGTCATATTGATGCTCATGACTAAAAAGGAGTTTTTTGGGGGGCATGAAGGAATGTCTTGACCTATGATTTCATTGGTATTTAGACCTTCCAGTGAGAAAACTCCTTCTACCAAGGCAGATCAACGCCTGTTTTGTCCATATCGTTAAAGAATTGGTTGGGACTCTGAGAAGGTTACGTGACTTCATTAGGGTCACAGAAACCATTTTGGAACAGGTGGTCCTTGACTCCAAGGACAGCCCTTTTATCCACTAAACCATGCTGCCTCTCAGGCCTAAGGGTTACCATTGAGGAAATACACGATCGGAAAAGGAGAAAGGAGGCAAGTAAGGTCGTGAGAGCAAAGAGATGCAGCTACACTCCCAGGTGCCCCACTGATCCCCACAAAATATCCCAACTTAGAGGAAAGCCCCCAGGTGTTAGCTCTTTCTCTGGTGGGAGACGAGCGTGTTAGGTTATGGAAAGATAACAGGCAAGACTCACACAGAATGAGACAGTGTAATCTACACCAGTGGAAGGAAATAGTATACACATGGATGAGCGTTTGAATCTGATGAAGTACTGAAGACTTAGGATGGTGACAAATAAAACTGATGATGATAAATAGAACTAATTTTCCTATTTAATAAGTGTAGTGTCAGAGAACCTTAAAACTTATAATTGAATCAGAAGCAACCTGGACAGGAGGAGTAGCTAAATTATTCTTTTGACTTGAGCATAGGAGATATCACAGTCTCCCTCATTTTTTGGTCCAGGTCTGTTCTTAAATCCTTTTGCTTGGGCCTTCTTCTTAGAGTGATAATAAAATTGGCCTCTTTCCCATAATATCAGCAATTAATTATCTTTTGGGCAATAGCTCTGCACTCATCCCTCATGCTGCTTCTTCATCTGCCTAGATAATTTGGGTCACCCCTTAGATGTCACTTTGCATGTCTGAATCTTTCCTGCTAGGATCTCTGATTTTCCACCCTCTTCTCTCCCAATTATTTTTGTTTTCCATTTTTGCATCCTTCAAGTTTCTCACAAAATAATATACTCAATAGCCATCTTCCAACAAGGAGGTCAATGATATTTATCTTTTATTTCAGGATGTACATCATTTCTCACAAAGAGATTCTTTATCTCTGCAATTTCAACCAGTCCTGCTACCCTCTTCTGCAACCAATTTTACCAAAATTGCTTCTTTTATTTGTAAAGGTACAGTATTTGTACATGTTTGGCAAAGTCTCCTGTTTACTTCTATTGTCAAAGCATATTCCCCATGAATGAATGGTTATCACTAATGTTTTTTCCCAAGAATACCATAAATATGTAATGGCCAACCTTACTGTAATATCTTGAAATTCTGCCGTGATGCCACTAGCTGATCACCCATTTGTAATATTGTTCCCGTGAGATTAACTGTTCCCTGTTTTGTCATTGCACCTAAAGCTGCATTTTTGTGGAAACCAGTTATTGATGTTAGGCAGAATATGCCTTTATAGGTGATATAATGATAATAATTCTTGTTGTCTGTATGGAGTGATTTATTTATAACTGCAGATTAGTGTAAGGGGAAGATAATGAGTTTGATTCCCATTGTGCAGGGATGAATAGTTCTTAGAGTTTCCATGAGGAAAGAATGCCAGTGCTGTTTATTTCATATTCCTTATGTGAAATTTTGTGTTGGAACTCTTAATGCAGCAATGGTCAGGGTTAAGAATAATCAAAGATTTCTAGGGTACTTTGTTCCATAAGAAAATTTTTTGAAATTCGATTTTACTTTCAGATCTGCATTCTTTTTTTCCCTCCCACCTTTGTCTCTTTTTTCATAGACAGGGCACTGAATGACAAAACAGTCAAAAGATACCACCATTAAAAAAAAAAACCCAAAACTCCGGCTTACCATTTAGATTTTATTTCTTTCCTTCTCAGTTCCTTCAGTGCCCTGCTATGCTATTATGCTATGATATGCACCCAATTTAGCTGCATTTTTTTCCCCCATCTTACTGTACTTGGCAGGCCTAAGGACTTTTCCCCTATTAGTTGAGAAAAAGCAGGGCTTTGTCATGGAAAAAAGATGAAATGTGGAACTTAATTTTTTCTCCAAGAAAATAAACTAGAGGCATGAAAGGCTTTGCAAAGGAGGCACACAGGTAATAGGCTGAGTTAGTAAAGAGGAAAAGCCTAAGTGGAAACCAAGAGATTGGTGCTTGACCCTTATTTTTCTTCCCATTTCCAAACAGCTCCATCATGTCTCAGTGAAACTGATTATCGTGGGGAAGGAAGAAATCTGAAAGGCACGGCCACATTGCAAGCATGTCTCTCTCGCCCTGTGGTGCAAGGGTAGGTTGAATCAATCAGTCAGGCATTTATGAAGCACCACCTTTGGTCCAAGCACTCTTCAATGTACTGGGAATAGAAGGACAAAAATAAAGCAGCCCCATCCTTGAAGGAGGTTATGAATTTATTGGCAGCAGGTTAATTCAGTCTTAATTCTGTTCATTAAGAGTTAGGGAAGAGCTCCTTAAAAGGAAAATCCTTAGGGAGATTTTAGATAACTATTTTTATAGGTGAGATTTTCATCTTAGCCTCTCTTCGGGTAGAGCTGCTAAAATAATTTTTACCTCCCTCGTTAAAGCTGGAATAATTAACTGATCTGGATCTTTTTATCTCTTCCTGTTCTATTTCATACAGTAATAACTGAGCCATAGGAGGATATCAAGAAGTGGAGGAGCAGATTATCTACAGACTAAATAATCCAATCCCAGTTAGCTAGCATGTCTGACTTTTTTTGAAATTAAGAGTGAGATCAGTGCCAACCCTTCACTCAGAGTGTTAGCAGGAAGCCTGAGGCTAATCCCTGTGTTCTGTGTGTCTGTTCCCAGGTATTTTGCGATTGACCCTTCTGCAGTCCAGTTTCACCTTGAGCCACACTGGAATGCATCCGGAATTTGGTCAATCTGGTACACTAGTCATTTTAGTCCTGTTGTTGTTATAAATAATGTGCTTGTTCCCAAGGATACCAGGCATATTTTAAAGGTAGGTATGTGCAGATTTTTTTCAAAGTTAGTTTCATTCTAGCTCAGGCACTTACAAACACCTTTCTGTGTTATTTTTCATATTTTCAAAATAATTGTTTCAGGAGATGGTTTTGGGAAGCAGCATGTTGCATTGTGTTTGAAGGCAGTATGTGGTTTGGATTCTGGCAGATCCCGTAACTTCTGATTTTTGATTTTCCTTCTCTGTAAAATGAGAGGGTTAGATTACATGGCCTACTTCCCATTCATAGCATTGGTGGTGGTGGTTCTTTTTTTGGGGGTTGGGGACAGTATAAATTTTGAACATGTTGGATTTTAAACCAAAAAATGTTTCAAAATATATCATTGGTCTAATTGTATAAAATGAGATCACTTTGTAAGGAGAAAAATTACATAAGTACGCAGTGAAAAATAATCCTGATTATGGGCTGCACTTAGATTTTATTGTAAGCACTGTTGGCGGAGGAGGAGTGTCCCTGATATGGAGCTGTGAATTGTATTGTGGGTTTTTCTGTAACAGCATGAATCCAGAGCCTTTTTTTTGGGGGGGGGTGAATTAAGAATATTTGCTGATCACATCAAGTCAGAAGTTATTAATGTAAATACAGGATTTCAGGAAATAACAAATTTGATTTATGATTTGCACTAAGAAAATTATTTTTTTTAATTAATTTATTTTGAATAATCAACAATTACTTACATAAGCTTTTGAGTTTTAAATTTTTCTCTCTCTCCCTCCCCACCTCCTTCCCCAAGATGGCACGCAATTTGATATAGGCTATACATATATATTCCTGTTAAACATATTTTCATATTAGTGATGTTGTAAGAAAGAATTAGGAACCACCAGAAAGAGGAAACAAAACACAGCAGAAGAAAAAAAAA